CCCACCTATTCACCTCAATGTACAGCAGACCCTCTCAGTTTATTTTTGAAATATGTTGTGGTCCTCTTGCCCTGAAAGCACCGACGAGCCGCAGTGAAAGGTTTCCTTCAGGTCCTTTATGAGCCTCGGCTGCAGGTCGCCTGTCTGAGACTCTGAAGGCCGTGCGGATCTTTATATTCACACACTGGAAGTGCTTTTGATCACGGCAGCTTTTACAGAGATGAGGAAGGACAGAGAGAAGGACCAGTGCATTCATTCATTCATACATTCATTCATTCAGTGCGCTTGCTTTATGCGCCACAATGCTTTTATTCAAAAAGCATTTTACAGCGCATTCAAGATGTATATTTTATCAGTATTAGCTGAGAATCCATCCATCATTGATGTCAATAGTGAAGTTTGAGTTAAATAAAAAGTATATTCATGATTTTTCATCTTTCAGATCTCATTCAGATCTTAAAAGCAAATGTAAATATGAAAAATGATATGTATACCTTGGCACTGATAGTAGATTCATTATAGTTATCTTTCGGGTCATAAAATTAAGCAGACATAAAAATGGAGTATGAAAATATTTCAATATATGTATTAAAATTTAAAATAAATGAAAACAACACGTAAAAAACAACTACAAACAATTTCTCAAAGTAAAAAGTCATTTTCTAGTATCCTAGTGTGTATTAATTCAAGTTTCATTAGCTTGATGTACAACAGTTGCATGAGTTGAGTTTATAAATAGAACTGAAACGTATTGACAATGAAATTTTTTTTTATCAGTTAGTTGTTTAGTCACATTTACAGACACTTTGCAGAAGTAAAACTCTGAGAAATTGAGAAAATCTGATGAAATAATTTGTACATAATAATTACTGGATTAATATTAATAAATGATAAGAAACAGTTTAATTTCCATCCCGTTCTGTTTTTAGACTAAAGTCTTAATTCCGTGTAAAAGTTACTTTATTTTCAACTTTAATTCACATGTGCCCAGGCGAGTGTCGATGAACATGTCGAGTTTGGAGGGGTTTCATGCGACTGAAGGTCTGCCGTCGTCATGGCAACCGGTTTTACACCTGTTTTTACGTGGCGTTCAGGACTTTGTTAAGAGCCGAGATTCCATTAACCTGGGTGGCGTCTCCGTCATTTTCCAGTCCCGGGATTTAGTGCCCTTGAAGAGGAAAACAGCCGGCCCGATCCCAAGCTCAACCCTGACTAATTAAGAAAGCAGCGCAGGGATGATTTTAACAAGCTCTCACAAGTCAACCACTGATTTCTTCTTCTATTGCTGGTTATCATTGCATAAGAAGCATTTAAAAATGTGCCTCTGAAATGACTTTTCTTTTCTCTTTTATATTTCAGCATTGCATACAACCTGGGCCGATCACACTGTAAAGAAATATTGTTGGTTTAACTTAAAAATGCCCATTAAAATAAAAAATTTAAGTTAACACACTAAAAGAGATAGAACTTGAACCACATTAATTATCTAAGGTAATTTGACAAAAGAAAATTTTTTGATAAATCATGAAAATATATTTTTTACAGTACGGTAGAATCATCCCGTCATGCATTTTCCTCTTGTTTGACACACATTAGAGAAGAAAATGCATGTGCAATGTTTGGCTCATTAATAATAAAATGTTTGGTGTATATAATAATAAAAAAAGTCTCTAATATGCTCACCATGGCTGCATTTATTTGATCAAAAATACAGTAAAAAATGTGAAATATTTTTACAATTTAGTACAGCTGTTTTCTATGTGAATATATAGTAAAGTGTAATTTATTCCTGTGATCAAAGCTGAATTTTCAGCATCATTACTCCAGTCTTCAGTGTCACATGATCCTTCAGAAATCACTCTAATATGCTGATGAAAATATATTAAAATGTAAAAGTTCAAATTGTAATTTTACTGTATTTTTGATCAAATAAATGCTTGACTTTCAGAGACATTAAAAAAAATCATAATTATTCCAAACTTTTGACCGCTGGTTTACAGTATGTGTTAATCATAAACAGTGTGTTTGGTCAGTTTCACAGTACTCCTTATGACATTTATAATGTTAATCTACCAACCTATTGAAGTATTAATATCTGTTTTGTACCATTGTAATACACTGACAACAATCAATCATCACAGCAGTGATGAGTCACATGATCAATCAAAGCTCATCACAAGCAGCTCTTCCACAAAAAGATTAATATTTATGTACAGAAGCTGCACAGTGTCATTCACACAAACATTAAACACCATCGTGGTAACACACATGAAATTAAAAAAATGCAATAAACATTAATCTAACAACATTAAATGTAACATAAAACCCTAATGTACATAACTGATTAGAAAAAAACAAACAAGAAAACTAAGAAGAAACAGTTATTTCAACAAAAATACATGAAATCTGAAGTGTCACGCAGGGAATTGTGGGAATGTCAATTTATGGTATTTTCACTGTAAATTATACAATAAGTTGCTCTTTTTCACTTTCAAAAACTGTAAATTTAACGGTATTTTACAGTAAAATTACATTAAATGTACCATGAGATCTATCACAGTTATTTACCGTAGTACGGAAACTTTCTGTTATTAACAGTTTTGCACTGTAGCATTTTTACAGTCTTTTAAAATTAAACCGTTAAAATCACGATTATTTTCTACAGTGCAGGGAAAGTGCTGCAGTTTTGCTGCGTGGCTCTTGGCAGCGCTGATCTGCGATCGATGCGATCTGTGTGAGAGAAACCCATGCGGTAATAGAGTTGGGGTTTGTGTTGAATCGCTGTAATGACTCTATACAGGTTGTCATATATTTTATTTGTCTAAGTGCTGCTTGGCAGACCTACTTAGCAGAGTTTTGGAGTGGCTTCGGCAGCTCATCTCTCAATCTGAGCTCTCAGTTCCTCTAATGTCACTGCTGTCAGTGTGAGGAATACCCAGCGCAGCCCTAAACTAATGCACAGTTATTAAACACTGGAGCCATATTCATATTTACAGTATAGTGTTTATCCTCCCATGAAGTTGGTCTTTTCTTTGCCATGACATGAGGGTCTGATTCTTCACAACAATATAATTATCAAAATAACAGCTTTGCGTTTGTGAGAGTGATTCAGTGTGTGGAAGCAATTTGGTGTCAACAGTAATTATATTTTGACACATAATTCGCCTTTCAGTGCTAAGGCCACAAAATAGCCTGATAAAACTAATTTGACAAAAAAAATTATCATTTTTCTTTGCTTCTTAACTTAATTTAAAAAAGTTTTGTTTTATAACTTTATGAAAGGAAAAAATGTTTTTTTTTTATTGTTATTTCTAATGAGCTGAGAGCTTTGAGAGCCACAGTTTTGTAACCTTATCTCACCAATGACTACAATAAACTGAAGTGAAATATATATATATATATTTTTTTTAAATACCATCATTCCTGTAAAAGGTTTTAGATGCATTGCAGCAAAACATGATCCCATATGTTTTTAGAACGTTTCCATTAGGTTTTTAGAACATTCCAAACGTCACATTCCATTTTATCATCTTCAAACATAATGGGAATGTTACATTTGAAGGTTCTCTGAATATTTCGAAACAAGTAACATTTAAAAAATGACGAACGTCCAATTAAAACGTTTCAGAAAAGGTTCCACAAACGATGTATAAATAAAGTTTGTGCTGTTTTCAGACATTATTAAAAACCAGATCATTTTGATGAACATTCTAACGTTACTGGAAGAACGTTTTTCTGTAACTTTGAGAGAACCTTGCCAGAAAATTCCTCTATTATTTACCAGTCCCCTATACCCAAACTGTTTACCCAACCTTGTAAAATATTTATAAAAAGCATTAAAATCAGGAAAAAGCTTAAAACATATTTTTTTCAATGGATGCACATTTTTTATAACAAAGTATCACTTAAAGAAAAATGCTGTTTCTATCACACAGTATTAAAAAATCCACTAGTGTATTACAGTAAGAACATGATCAACTCTTTATTCCATGTGATGAGCTACTTAAAACATAGTTAAAGAAGTTTCATATCTTTCAAGATTTTAAGTAGTAATATATATGCTCTTGACGGAAGAATCATCATTTTAATGTTCTTCCATCTCCTAAAAAGTATACGGATCCACAAGCTTGTTGTTTAAATTAATTGAGAATTAGTAGTTTTAGAGACCTGCATTTAAGCAGTTTTACTGTCAAACTCAGTACAAGTCGTTTCTCAAGGATGCTATTGTCATCTGGCTCACAGTGTGTGAAGGTGAAGTGTTTTTTACACAGAGCATTACATTCTGTGATTATTAAAGCTCCAGATATTTCATTTTTAATATTAAACTCTAGGCACTTTGCCCAGTTTAATTTTGAGATTATTATCTTGAAATATGATCTTACGTTCTCTATTAATGTAACAGCAATATGATTTAGCTGCTTTGTTGTTCTTTTATGTTTAATTGTATACTATTTATCAGTTATTTTTATTTATTTGCCAATTTAGTTTGGAATTATGCTTCCAAAGGGCATTAGTTTTATCTCAGTAACTAATGTTCAGGTGAATCAATCAATTCACCCCAAATCAAAACAGTAAGAAATTTTGCAAGACAAAAATAAAGCACTTTCCTGTTCATATTCGCACCAAAATACCGCAGTGTTGGCCTTTAAAACAGGCGTGACGAGCAGTATGTGTGTGTATATTGTGTAGCCTCAGCATATGGACTCAAAGGCTTTGCATTTCTCTCTTTGTGTTTCAACATCCGGGTTTTCCTGCTGCGAAATTCCCAATCCTACTACGGAGAGGCCCGGCTCCTGAATATTAATTAGACCTTGATGACGTTTCTCGCCAACATTCCAAGAGCGTCCAGTCATGTGATTGATTAATATTCATGAGCCAGGGATTCTCAGCAGGCTCAGCCAATGAGGGAGCGCTGCTGGACGAGCGTCACGGTGCGTAGTTAATATTCATGAGCCGAGCCTTCGACTTAGTAGAACTGGAAAATTGGTTTCCCTGCTGGCTGTGTTTCGCTCTCCGAAGCCATTTTGGACTCAGTTCAGTTTCGTGCATGTCAGAATCGGACCCTGTCCAGCCATTCTCACTCTGAACAGGAGAAGCTTCACACACGGACTGGCTTTTGGGTGGAAATCACTCATTGTTTCATGCTGGAAGGCGTTTCTGTTGGAATAGCCGCTTTTCCTGATGGATTTCTGCATATGTTAAAGTTTGATTGGGTGGACATCAGGCCGACGGTCACTCGGGCTCGTGTGTGTGTGTGTGTGTGAGAGAGAGGGAGAGAGAGAGAGAGAGTGTGTGAGTGTGTGCATGAATGTGTGTGTGTGTTTCCACCGATCGTTTTAAATGTGTGCAAAGCAGAAGACACTAAAAAGGAGAAAACCTGGGGTGTTTTTGTGCCAGTAGAGGAATATGTTCGCTTCCTGGCTGACTTTTGCACTTCTTCTGGGAACTTTTTGTGCAGGTAAGCGCTCATTTATTCTTCTGACAAGACTTGGGTGAGATTTGCATGAATGCAGTTCTTACTTTCTCTAAACCATGCATTGGACATTTATTGCTAAAGCGCTTCTGTCGTTGTATTTGCATTAGGAAACCTGTTTGAGTTCCATCAGCGTTTGATGAAAAATTATAGTAGTGACAGATAATGTATCTCCGTTTTAGTGGTCGCATTCATTCATAACTACAAATACTACTCACTGTCCTTAACAATAACACAAGGACAGCCAACTCAGTCCAAGGATTTATAATACTTGTTACATAGTTGCATTTATGAATCAAGTGCATGCACGGTCATATTGGTGTAAATGATTTTTGCATCCATGTTAAATATGGATGGGATAGTGCGTGCTTTTATAGTGAGTGTAGTGATTTGTGGTAGTGTTCCTCAACCCATCCCACAGAAAGTCCTCTGAATGCAGTAAATGTGTGTTTGGCTGCTTCTGGACTGTGGCTTTGTTGTGTTGTGTTGGAGGGTTTGGGGGGAGGGGTGGATCTATACAGCTCAATATCATGCTGAATTCACATTAAATAACATCTAACATCACAGTGCACTTTAATAAACGATCTCAGATGAAATATATATATACGGATGCATTGTTTTCATTTCAGGGACAGATTTCCCAGTGTTTTACCTCCAGGAATGGCCTTGTTGGGTAAATACTGGGAATTTTGGAAGAAGAAAAAAACTTAGTTTATATATTGAGGTTTTGTGCCTCAGATTCAGTGTTATTATTATTTTTTATTAATATTGGAAACCTGTAGTAGCTTTTAATTGTTTTAGTTTTCATGTTAATTTCTAGTAATTTTATTATTTTTATAATTTTATTATGTGGTTTAGTCATTTTGTAAAGTATTTTGCTCTTTAAGTTTAATTTATTTTTTAATTAATTCTAGTCTTAGTTTAGTTTTATTTGATTTATTTCCAGTTAATCATTTTATGGTTCAACTTATTTCAGTTTATTACCAGGCAACATTTCTAAGTTTCATTTGGTTTTCCCCTAGTAATTCTATTTTATTCTATTTCAGCTTTATTCCAATTAAGATAAATGCTTGAATAGTTTTAGTTGACGATAATAACCCTGCTCTGAAGTTTCTGTTTCGTGAACATGAGTGTTTGAGTTCCCTGTTGAACAGACCAGCATATGTTGTGTCGTGTTCATAACTAGCTTAACCCACAAGCCTCCTGGTTTAGCAGACAGACAACACCTGGGCTCTTTCTGGTTGTTGTTTTTCCTCCAAAAGCAACTTTGGTATACGCTTCATACTCATAGAGTGAAAAGACACAAGAAGTTGTTAGAAATTTAGGTAAAAAGCAACTTGAGACGTGCATTCAAACGTCACATGATGCGTGTTTTTGGTTCAATAGAAGTTGGTCTTCAAGGATGTTTATTGTCTTCTATGGAGACTCACATGACAGAAGAAAGTTGGTGTTTTGTAGCTGTTTTACCCGGAACAGAAAATGTTCTTGCATTGGTTTAAATGAGATCCAGTAGATATGCTGGTGAATCTCACAAAACCTGTCTAAAACTTGTCCAACTTCGATGAATCGCTTGTTGTATTCCTGATTTGTAAGTCGCTTTGGATAAATCCGTCTGCTAAATGAATATGCAACACATTTCCCCCTAAAATTCTCATTAATATCATGCTGTATGCATTGTAATGCAGAATATGTGGCTGATATTTTATATTTTTTAATTAAATAAAAACATTTTCTATGGACAGAATGATTTTCATTATCCTATTACACTGTAAAAATTACTTTTCAAAGTTGTAAATAAAAAAGTTTGACAAGAAAATACTATTTCAGTCTTTCTAGTTCAAGCGTTACTTGTCATTTATTTGTTAAATTTGCTATCAGTTTCAGAGTGAAAATCGATTCAAAGTAAATCCTACACCATTGTATAGAAATAAGAATAGAATAGAAATAAAACATTACAATCATTAGAATTTTGGTTAAATTATCTTGTAAATAGTTACAATGCAAACAATCCTATTATCCCTTAATTTTCTTAATGCAAAATATAATTTCTTGATTGTTCCATCTGATTTCTTGGTGAAATGTGTCCCTGGTGTGTCTTTCTGTCATTGTTCAATGCTTTTTGCGATGCCGCGAGGGCTCATAAAGCCTGATGTTTTGTGTGTGTGTGTGTGTTGTGTAATAGTCTTTGCGTAGAGCATTCCAAGATTCCCCTGGCTGAGCAGAGGGTGCCGTAAAAAGAAAAGCAGGGCGGTGTGGCTTTTAAACACCCTTCTATTGGAGGAAACAAATGACTCTTGATGCTCCGTTTACTGCTCATATCTGCTTGAGTTTTGGGATGGGTTGTCAGTTTCCATCCGTGTGTTTCTGCTGAACGGTTCCCCTCGGATGGCCGCTGCATTACTGACCGCGAGATTCTTGTATGTGGTGTGTGTGTGTCGGGTTTGTTCAAAGGATTGACCACATGGTTGGACGGGGGGAGGGTGAAGTGAAATTCCTCTCTGGACTGAAATGGCCACCATATAGTCCATCAGCACTCCAATCAGAGGAGCTGTAGAACTGCCATGGGATCATCCAGAGGGACATACGGTGGTTTGCATGTTGCGTTATGGATGCAAGCTGTGGCGCATGGGTGGGGGGGCTAGTTTAGAGAGAGAGAGAGAGAGAGTGTGTGAGAAATGGGGGATGGGTCGCCTGAAGCAAGAACTGGGATTTAAAGCAACAGTATGTGTTTTTCTTGTGGTCTTTACCAAGTCAATCAACACTACACTGGAAAGAAATTTGGTGTAAAAACAGCTTTCACTCAGAAATGAGTAAATATCGCAAACATTTACAAAGAAACTGCAAGTAACACATTGAACGTGAAATTTTGATTAAAAAAACTGAAATGGTATTTTCTTATAAAACACACTCCAAAAATGTTTGTTTTATTATACAAAGACAAATTGGCATAGGATTTATTTTGAATACAATTTTACTAAGTAAACTACTAAGTAAAATTTTGGAGAAAAAAACGTGTTTTACAGTGTAGTACTGCTGCGCACGTAGTCATGTGATGTTTCCTCCAACACTGAGCATTGTGTGTGCTTCGTGAAATCATGTCTTGTTGAGGATAAGTGTGTAGTTTTTGCCTGGTGTACAAATAAATGGGTAAATAGATTAACTTTTACATATTGTGGCGTTGACATGTAGGAAATGTTGGTGTAGGTTATCCTTTGAAACAATTTTCACTGGTAAATTTCACAAATAATTATTAAATTATTACAAATAACAACTTAGATTTTCTGCAAAGCTTCTTTGAAACAATGTGTTTTGCAAAAATGCATCATTTAAGTAAATTTGACTAGATTTGAATTACAAAGAAATGGCAAGTAACCCATTAAAATTTTGAAGTAGAAAGAGTGAAGTATTGAAAAATGAACAATCAAGAAGTACTTGAATAATCTTATAGTTTACAACTTTGAAAAATCTTTTTTTTTTTACATGCATAAGTAGTTTGTAAACATTCATGTTATCCTGTGGAGAACAGCAGTAACGCAAGCAATGGCTTTGATTAATGTGCACACAGAGGTTGGGGTTGATATGAATATACTTGGGGTTGGGGTTGATATATCAGATAAGGACCCTGCGAATGAGGTTGTAAGTTGTTTTTATGGAATTTAATCCCAAACTGTCTGAAATGAAGTGTTGATCCCTCAGGAATATTCTGTTGAGCTTCTTACGAATTAATGTCCAGAAACCTGTTTGTCTCATGAGTGTTTTTCAAGATTTGTTTTGACAGTCAGTCATCACATTTTTATAGCGCTAGAACGTTTATATTTAGTAGGCCTGTAGCGGCGCGTCGATGACGTCGACGCTTCGACGTCAAAAATTCGTCGACGTCATATTTTTTTGTCGACGCTTCTTTATTTATTTATGTATTTATTTTTTTGCACCGTTCCCGGCGGTACAGCACACGTGGGAGACCGAAACATTGCAGAATCGAGGACGAAACAGCAACCTCTTCACAGAATTCACAACAAAGCCATGCAAAAGTCCCAACAAAAGAAAAAGTCCTAAAAAACCCCAGCTCGCACTAAATCATCGAAGGTATGGGAATACTTCAAATTTAGTCCCAAACGTAAAGGTGTCGTTATTTGCGCTCTTTGTCAAATGGAGTTGACATCCCAAGTCTCCCGCATAGTGATAGCGGCTCCCTGATGACCGCAAATTAGTTAAAATCTCCCGGAATCTAGAGCTCGCGAGCTCCAAACCGTGTAGCGCGCGGCAGCGAGGGAGAGAGCGAGAGACCTTGCGCGTGTGTGTGCAAATGTGCGTGTGTGCCTTATGAAGCGCATGTAAACCCCACCCCCGTCAACAAAACCGAAAAATCAGTCCGGATGTTTTTTATGAGCACTGAAAACATTTAAATGAGCACCACATCCAAGTGTGATAGGGCTCATTTGAGTAGACTACCAAACATTTTACAGTGTAGATACTCTGTAAGAACCAGATCAAAATTGTTGTGCATTGAATGTGCACTCCTGCAATTTCCATGTTACAAAAAAGAATCGTTCAATTAGTCGTTAGATTAGTCGACTAATCGATAAAATAATCGACAGACTAATCGTTTAATTAATAATCGTTTACCCCAGCCCTAATATTTATCCTACATACACATATGACATATGTTCCAGTTTATAGGAAGAAATGTGAATTTAAACTCATGTTGGCCCAAATGAATTTGTCCAAATTTCATATTGAACAATATTGATGGAATGTTAGGAATTCTGTTACTTACAGAAAATGGATCATGTTGCATTGAAGTTTTCTTGCATAATTTTTACTGTGTAGAGTAAAATTGAGTATTGCGTTTAAATATGCACTCTTGAATCTAGGCTTTTGTTAATTGGGAAGTGGTCATAATATCAAAGGCCAAACAATGAGCGTTTAATCCATCATCTGTCATAATTACTATTGGGAAGTTTAAGTTTTTCTTTGAGCCACAA